ATATATATATATATATATATAATAACATGTAATTTCAATAAAAATAATACATATTCTTTTTACACGATGTGAATAAAATTTTAACAAATCTTTAAAATTTGTATTTTTTTTCTTGCAATGAACTCCTATGCTATTTTCCATCATCAACAAAATGTGTTCTTTATAATTGTCAAGGTGCCCATCACTTACAAAGCAAAACACAATTTATTATAAAGGTCTCTTATAATTTGGTATATAAAAGTGTAATCCTGGTTTAAGTTTTATTCTTTTATATAGAAAAAAAAATTGTATTTGTTATTGTCGTAACCTGAAAAATTTCGATCTTACGACTAATGTTTAGACTTCCAATTGAAAATATCATCAATTAGGAAATGCTTGGAAACTAGACTAATCCTTAATAATGACTTTGAAGAATGGTTCGTAGAAGTCGCCACCAATATTTTACTCAAAATATTAGAAAAAGAAATGGTTTTTTGAAAATCCAATAATGGCCTTGATAACCAAAATCGGGTTCGGGGGTCGGTTACGTGCAGGGAAGGTATTAAACACCCCTACAACACCCTTAATCGATACCTTATGATGAACCTAGCGTAATAAGATTTGATAGTTTAAATACTAAATCCCCTTTATTAATGGTTATTTACATGAAATTTAAATTTCATGATTTCCCTAGAACGTCTACATGATTATTCTTTTTAATTTAGAATGAATATCTATTAAAGATGAGAAATAAAAAAGGAAGAGAAGAATATTGATTGAAATACCTCTTAAGCGAGCTTTATTGAATCTTCAAATATGGAAATTTTTAAGTACTTTGTGGCAGCCTTACACACTACAATGTGCCTCATAGCTCTCAAGAAATACAAGAAGAGGAACAAAAAGTGAATTTTCGAGCTATATGAAATTCTAGACAAATTTTTCTTGCTCCTAGGGTAGTGCCCCAATCATCTATTTATAGACGTTAGAACTGACTGGAACATTTCGTTCCGGTTTTGGAATGACCCATTTTGGGTCAGTTTGTTGTGTGTTAAATTTGAATCTAGAACGGCCCGTTCTAATTCCAGAATGGCCCGTTCCAGACTTGCACTTAACCCATAACAACCTATGCTAGAATGGCCCGTTCTGGCTCGTTCTCAACTAGGTTTTTCAAGTCTTTTTAGTAGTTCGGGGGCTCTTTCCTTTCATAATAGAAGTTCATTTCCTTATTTACAGGTCCGGATGAAATTGAGTGTCTATAGTTATCACAAATTTTTAAAATAATAAAAGTTTTTTTTAATGTTTTAGAAAAAAAAAACTAAATGTTTAATATGTTAAAATTTAGAATTTGTGGTTAATTAATTAAAAATTGAACAACAGAAGAAAAACTAAAAAATTAACATTAAAAATATAATTTTTTTGTTTGAAAAATAGAAGTTGTATTTTTATTTTAGGCACTCGCGCAGACCAACCCTCCGGATCCCAACAAAACGCTAGTGGCGCGGTGCAGGCCGAGGTAAGCCAAGAAACAGGGTCAGCCCCCTTGCGGGGAGTTATCAACACAATTGTAGGTGGCTTCGCAGGGGGAGGCTCTAGCAGCTTGGCGCGAAAATGACACTTGCGCAGTATCAACAATGTTCATTCCGCTACCTCGGCCCCGCACCAGAGCACACCACCGATAACCTTCACCGACGACTACACTGGCGTCTGCCCCAACCAGGATGATCCAATGGTCATCGTCGTGGAGGTCTCCAACTGGGAGGTTCACAAGACGCTGATCGATTAAGGCAGCTCGGCTGACGTCCTATACTAGCTGACGTTTCTCAGGTTAGACATCCCTCACTCCCTCATGCAACCTCACACAGAACCCCTAGTCGGTTTTGCAGGGGAACGAGTTCACACTCGAGGGTATGTAGACCTGATGAAGACCTTCGAAACCTCTCCCGACTCAAGGTGGATCATGGTCCGATACCTCCTCGTGGAAGCCAACATGTCTTACAACATAATCATTGGAAGGCCGACGTTGAACCAACTCGGGACAGTGGTGTCTACCCCGCACCTCACCATGAAATTCCCAGGGAGTGGTGGTAAGGTCATCTCCGTCAGGGCGAACCAGAAGACAGCTCGGCAATGCTACGCTGAAAGTTTGAAGGTCTCACCATCCGAGGAGTGCCGCAAAAGTGACCCCCTACAGTGGCTCATATCGCCCACGTGGACATCGCTGACCTAGATCCGAGGTTGGATTCCCATGAGGAATGGCCAAGTCCCATTGATGAGCTCGATGACCTCCAGATCGGAAAACTCCCTGGACAGTGCACCAAAATAAGCAGGCAGTTAAGCCCGGAGTTACGGTGACAACTTGAAGCTGAAATCTCCAAGAACGCCGACCTCTTTGCATGGTCCAACGCCGACATGCCAGGTATAGATGCTAACTTTATATGTCACAGGCTGGCAATTCACAAGGAGGCAAAACCAGTGGCCCAGAGGAAGAGGAAGGTCAGCGGAGAGAGACGAGAGGCCATCATCACCGAGATGCAAAAGCTACTAAACGCGGGCTTCATCCGCGAGGTCAGATACACCACGTAGATGGCAAACGTGGTACTGGTGAAGAAGAGCTCGGGGAAGTGGTGCATGTGCGTCGACTACACCGATCTGAACAAAGCTTACTCCGGATACAACCAGATCATGATGTACCCACCAGACGAGGTGCACACGTCGTTCATCACCGACCACGCCAACTTTTGCTACCGAGTGATGCCATTCGGTCTAAAAAACGCAGGGGCCACTTACTAGTGGCTGATGGACAAAGTTTTCCACCAACAGATTGGGCGGAACATGGAGGTTTACGTCAACGACATGGTGGTCAAAACCACTTCGACTGAAGGTCATGCTGCCAACCTGGCCGAGGTATTCAGCCAGATCAGAAAAAACAACATGCGCCTCAACCCAAAGAAGTGCGTCTTCGGCATCCAGGGAGGTAAATTCCTTGGTTTCATGATCACTAGCAGGGGGATTGAGGCCAACCCGGAGAAGTGCAAAGCCATAACCCAGATGCAAAGCCCTCAGACTATGAAAGAAGTCCAACGCCTGGCAGGAAGGTTGGTTTCCCTCTCCCGTTTTATCCCCAG